GACGCCGAAGCTCAGCCACACAATCCGTGGCTAGCTCTCAACCACAATCCAAGCCCGCAGACAGACAAACATCACCATCACCAGCACTCACCCAGGACAATGCTCACTCTTCCAGGCATGACGTCACTGCAACTACCACTGCAAAACGCACTCCAGAGTCAACCCACCGTACTTCCGGCATCACACTCAAACCCAATCCACAGTTCACACCCAAACATTCCACAAAACAGACAACTACTCCGCCACCTCCAGCACCACCACCCGCAGTTCCAGTTCAACGTCGACCTCACAATTTGCCTCCTCCACAATTCCAACCACCCACTGATCCAGCACAATTGGACGTCTTCCGATGGATCAACCACTATGCACAAGCACTTGATGTCAAAAATGAACCAATGATTTCATACGTGGCAAAGGTACTCAGCGCAGCTCATCTCAACAGCACCCACTTCACCGACCTGCAACTTCTCACACACACACAAAATGGAGTGACGACACCAACAAAGAAGAACATTATTAATTTCTATTACTCACAATCCCCACACTAGCAAGCAGGGGCGATGCACCGATCCTTCCTCCCACAAGGAGAGAGGCACTAAACATACCACCCATAAAGCACATTTTTGCGGCACACGTCAGTGAGGAGGGCAACATCATTTCAATACTTGAAGCGGGAGAAATCGTACGATCCGTTTTACATGATGACCACAATGTGGTTATTTTTGTCAGGCATTCGAACTGTCGAACTATGAGCCCCATGATGCTGCTGAAGCTGCACGTGTTCTATTCAATGCTTCAAACATGGCCAAGAACCGTAGCGGCCTCATTCTGACGATCAAAGCCTACGGGCACGGCCAAAAAGTCACTCATGGTGGCGAATCCGCAGCCAACGACCTGCTGCTCAGAGGAGAAGGGATTGTAAAATACACCCCAGGAAAATGCTGGGTAGCTCATCCCAAACATTCAAGAATAGAAGGGATAGCCTGGAAAAGCGATGCAAAGCCACCGCTCAGTTTCATTTAATTCAACCTATCCAGCCCAGGAGGTTCTTTTTTCACCCCATATCACGGATGACGACCTAGCCTCAAACAATCTCAGCCTGCCTGCTCGCTTTTGGTTTAGATTCTGATTTCTTCATATTGTTCGATTATTCGATGACAACTTGCGGTATTTCCAATATGTTATTTCTGTACAGTTTGATGCCGACAACATGGTCTTCCTCGCGACTACTTTCGCTCCAATGTACCGGATTTTGTGCTTTTCAGCCTTCCTGATGATTTTAGACCTTGACTCCGCACGATTTTCCACATTCTGCACCGCAGCCATTTTGTATTATCTTGAACATTGAGCTCGATCCCTTACAATAGCCCGCGCTATATTTGCTCTATCACGACGATGACTTCACCTTTGGACACAGCATTTGCACATCGACTCCTTCTAGCACACCTTCAAGCAGCCACATCTATTGCCACCACTTTTCAAAACCTTCCACCATTTACACCGCAACCACCACAACATGCACATCACCAACTCACTACCACTCCACCTTCTTTCCAAAGACCAACCAGACGCACTCCTCCACCACCGCAGCCACAGCCGTCTCATTCACGCAGCCGCAGTCCACCTCCCACCACAGGCACACTCTTCAGGGAGTGCAAACCAGAACCTTCTCCCTCACACACACCCACTTCACCACATCAGTTTTCACCACACCACCACAAGTCCAAAGCGACTCACCACCACAAGAACAATACAGACCTCCAGAAACAGCCTGCACCACCAATCACAACGATTTCTCTCACCAGCTCGCCCAATTCGCCTCCACAAACATCACCAATTCCACCGATTCCACCACTACCTACACCAGTACCACCTGCATCACCAGTACCACCATCAAAACCAGCACAAATCCTTACGGGTTCACCACACTATCCTGACAATGGAGGATGGGAACCCAGCGAAGATGAAAAACTGGCGGCCTTTAACCTTTAAACTCAACAAGCGAGCTCGCCCCAGTTGGAAGTACATAGCAAAAGCACTCAACAAAACACCTTTTGATTGCAAAGGTCGATGGCAAGTCTTGCGAATTCTTTACACACCTCAACAACCAGAGAGTCCAGAAGCGGAAGCGGAAGCAGCATCATCACCTCACAAAGCATCCCACCAAGCAGCAGCAACCCCTCCAGCTACAAAGGATGCCAGTACGATGACTACAGAACCCCCAGCTCCATCAGACAAGGAGACATAGAACGCGGACCAACAGTACACGACAGTCCAAACAGAGCACCTACATATCCACTACCCCCACGACGACTTGGTGCTGAAGAACATCCAGAACTTTTGATGGCTCTGTATGTATTTATTTATTGTCAATTCGTACATATTTACATATTGGCTTATTGCTTCTTGTCGCGTCAGCAGTTGTGAGCAATAGACTCCAACCCACAACACACCATTACAGCTTTCTTCCACACGTGCAGCAAAAAACAAGATCGATTGCCAGCAGAGCTCATTTTGTTTGAACACTCGCCACACACATCAAATTCTCGACCACTGGCACATCACCAGTACTGTGTACAGACCATGTTATTCCGTTTAATTCGTCGTTTCATTGCATCTATGCGAACCACTTTCGATTGGTCTTCCTGTTGTTGAACCTGAAGAACTTTTTCTGTTTCCAAGTTTTGGTTGAACTTGATTACTTTTACATATTTCGTCTCCACCTTGATGTATTTGCAGCTCGGCTAGTTCAACTTAGCTCAGCCTTTCATTCGTGTACAGATTTCTCGACGACGACATCGCGATGGATTCCAATCCTGTTGGGGCAGCCCTCGTTGCCTTGGATGCCCAGATCATTTCACAACTGCGCGATACAAACATCCAGATCAACCGGCTGATGGTACTTCAACTCAATCGACTACATGATACTATTCG